TTTCCTTTTTAAAATGTGTACTTATAGACTAATATCACTTTTTGATATTTTCTTTGATTATAATTTTTTCTATTTCAGTAAAACTGTCTTCCCAAAACCCACAGCAACAGCCGTGTAGACGAAGACAAGCAGCTAAATCCCAAGGAAGAAGAAATTCTGTGGCAAACTTACCCATTGCAACGACTTTAGCAATACCCCAATTAGACGCTATTATGCGTCAACAGAAACTTTTAGACTTGCGTTTACAACAACTACAAGCGGATAGTAAGGATAATAACCGTATGATGGACGACGTGGAATTTATACGGAGATTAATGTCCGAAAATCAGAAAGCGTTGTGTAATGTCGTCCAAGCTTTGTCAAACATACAGGGTGAAATAGTGAACCTAGCCCAGTGTCTGAAACCAACTCCTAAACCAAGTCAACCGACTGAACCTACACCAAACGCTGTATCGAACGCACACCCGAAAACGAGTGGCGGTCTTGCAAACCGTACTGCTTCAGTGAGAAAAAGATCGGCGCCTGAAGAAGGCGAAAGTAAAGTGTAAATGTGAAATATATCGGAGCCTTGTTACATTTATTGTGATCGAAGTTTTGAACAAACCGACGGGTAGTGCTGGCGCTACAGCTTCTCAAAAGCCTGGGGTTTTCTTACCTACTGAAATTACTATCCAAAATAAAATATGCATGAATTAGACATATCTTTGTTGACTTGCTTCTGAAGAATTGAGCTTTGTTCGTCGTTAGATTCTGACCACAAGATCTTTGTATTGGTTTGGGGAAGATGATCTCGGGCTTTTGAATTTTATCTTTTATCTTTTACAATTATGGAGATTTTAATATGGCAGTTACAAATTTAAATATTTAAATGTTATTTTTATTTTTTGGTGTTGATACTAATTAGTGATATTTTACAAATTGTTATATTTGCCATCGTGTGAGTTGTGTACCTTCTCTAGATATGTGTCGCAATCTATGGTATAGCCAGAGAACAATCTGATTAAAATACAGATTAATATCGTGTCCAATTAGACACCATTAGACATTTTGTAGTTAGTTTCTAGCTTTCAAAAATAACAAATACCTCAATACAACCCAGTCTAATCATTGTTGAGCGTTATTCGGTGTCGAAACTTAATTTGTATTGTATTAAAGGTGACTGGAAACACGGTACTATATAAGTTGTATTTTAATCAGATTGACAACTATTTATTTATGGTATTGTGTGCAATATTTTATTATTCTAGACTTTGAATGAATGATACAGCTTTAATAGTTTTGTGTTTTGAGTTCAACAGATATTTTTGCTGTCTGTATTGCGGTTGTTTCTTTATTTTCTGTTTTTTGAATTTTTCTGAAATCTTTAATAAATCTGATGGGTTATCTTTAAAGAAAAACATTGTCGACTTTTTTTTGCAATTTCCAGAACGAGAGAGGCCGAGTGATAAATCTGAATAATGCAAAAGTCATGTTGAAGCATATCTAAGTACCCCTGTCATACAATTCTAGAATCTTTTCAAGAAACAATATTTATTTAATGATGAAATTTATTTCTTAAATGTCAACGTATCAACAACCTTATCCAAGCTTCAGATTGCCCATATCCATTTCTCGATTTTAACCACCAAAATATACTTTTATGGCATGAAACTAACCATTAAATTTCTCTCCCATTCCATTCAAACAAAGCATCAAGAATTTGGTGAGAACTTATTGGGTGGTGGATACAAGAAACATCAAAACTGGACCAAATATAGATTTGAATGAGATTGGTCAAGCAAGAATATTCGTGAGTCCTTGTGTTACAAGATTATTCCTGATGAGGCTCTTGCACTCTCTTTATATCCTCTGTTCTTTTTTCTGAAACTAAGAAGTTTATTCTACCATGTAACCATGTTGCTACAAAGTGGACTTAACTCGAACAAAGATATCTTTCAAATCTGGGACGATTCGAAAACAAACAAGGGCATTGTTTTCTTCGTTTTAGTTAAGATAAACAGTAATTAAAACTATAAAAACCTTGATTACCTAAAATGAAGTAAATTTCACGCGTTCTGTTTGAAATCGCCCCCGAATATACACAAATATTCTTACTCTCACTTGGTGAGAAAAGCATGATATTTGGCTCCAATGTTGATCAGATGGTACTTTTTCAAAAAGCATAAAATGACCATCGCGATTTCTTCCATTTTCAAATGCCACTTGGCGACATTCTGCTTAAAAAAATATAGCCTATGTATATCAGTCATATAACAAGCTGATTTTGGCCTGGTTTATTAAGACATTAAGTATATCGTTTCGAACTAATTCCTAAACCTATCCTGAAAAAAACAAAAAATCTGAATGGCCGACGAAATTTTTTCTTTAGCTTCTTCATAAGAAATATTCATTGCAAATATAGTGCTTGTATCGTCAAATGAAATATTGTAATCATTGAGAAATTATAATAGGGGTATAGATATAAAGGGACGCAATTCTCTGTTAATACCCCTCTATTCAGACTAAAGTTAATTCAATGTCACCAGAGCAGTGTAAACTGTTCTTTACAACGACAACGCCACCCAACATTTTATTGGGGAAAAATATATTAACTGTTCAAAGTATGTATCCGCACTTCTGCTCTCACATTGGACCAATTATTTTATCGTCACGTTAAGTAACAGAACTATTTTTCCAACCTGTCCAATGCATCATTAAAAACTGCAACAAATAATATAAGTTTGGCTTGAAAAAGAATTTTAAGAATTTTGATCAAAAACAGTTAATTTTATTCATTCAAATCAGTAACGATTTCAATTTGGCGAAAAATTTAGCTATGATTGACAATTAGACGACTTTAGACCTTCAATGGAAGGATGATAGCCTTATAACAATGGTTCCCCGAACACTGAAACTTGACAACGATGTTATTTGAATCATTCAACACTAGCCGAAATACTAAGATTTTAATCGGTCATTATTACAACACATACGTCGTAAACATCATGATCACAAGCTTTAGTCCTACAGATGGAATTTTGTGTAATCGTGTCTTGGTCTCAGTAACAAGAATTGTTCAGCTAAGATAATCAGTATAAGTCTTCACAGCTTACAGTCGAATTTTTAGCCTTCTTATAGCCACATGTATCCGTAATTATATGTATTTGAAGGTTTCATTGACAACTCGTTTATCTCAAATCCTCTATTTTGAAGAAAGTTAATGACTGAATAATTACCACAGAGATATTATATTACATCTAATTACGCAGTAGCGTAGTATTGGATACTCCAATTTGAAGGGAGAATATAAACTTATGAACGAAACAAATAGAGTGGATTTTCTTGTTTGATGACCATTTGATGGAATTAGACGATTTTGTACAGTTCTAGTATTTCTACAGACTGTTTGCTCTACCCCCGAATGCCCTCTGTAAGACTTTAAAGGGACAGGTGTGCCATTTTGGGGTGATTTGAGTTTTGAATATGTAAATAGTCTTCAAAAGTACTAGAAATGTACGAAAATCGTATAATTCCTTCAAAAATATCTCACTCAAACTAGGAATTTCTTTTCCCATTTCTATCGATGTCTATATATATGGCAGTGTCTCAAGAAAAGACGACTCGTCTTTGTAACTTTCAACGGCGAATGATTATGGACACACATAGATTTGAAGGCTCGACTGAGAACAATATTTCTGATTGACTAAGCTAAAATATTCCCATTTCTGAGACTAGGGTATGATTGGTAAACAACGACACACCTATACCTTTAATGAAATAATACAGAAATGAAAACCTGAACAGGACTGTGAAGCAGAATCGAACTAAACTCTTGTTGAGGCTATCGCCTTCAAACTCGCCATCCGTGATTAAACTGATAAATAAATCCGTCCAATGCTGTATACACGATTTCCTCAGAAAACTCCACGAACTTTCTATCCGTTGGTTTGATTGTACTTTTTCCGTATAAGAAACATTTTCCACCATGAGTCTGTGTCATTCCTTCTAAGGAATTTTTGACAGGAACTAAGGGTGGTATTTTCTGCTCCACGATCACCTCTCGAAATGCTTTGACAACCTTGACATTCTGTAACCACTTTAAAGAAATAACCTCCTATTACTGCAGGGTTGTTATTTGTGTTGTATATTTTTAGCCACTATTATTGAAATTATTTTTCTGGAAAGCCGATCTATTCACCCGTATATACACAAACCATAAGACTTAAGTTTGTCATATCCATCAATATGTCAAATAACATTTGGTCTTTGAGCGAAATAGTTTCGCCTTAACAAACGATGAGATCGTCTTAGCTTAGAGCAACAGCATCAGCATCAGCATCCAGTTCATTTAAGATCATCCGGACGTCTTCCATTCGTACATTCAATCCTACTTCTAAACATTTTGTAAGCATCAATTGAACTTACTTCAAGTTGACCTAATGTCACAGGTATACTACCTCTTACAACAAATTCAAATTTGTAGACTTTTCCAAAATGAGTCTGTGTTCTATCAGTCGACTTACCTGGTGTCATAACTATACAAAATAATCCTTTTACAATCCAATTAATCCATTAAACTAAGTAATAATTCATTAAACTAAGTAATTTTGAAACATCATAAAACAAGTATGAAGACACCTTTTAAGAGTGACTAAAGTATTTTATTCTTTAATTATTTAACAACATATAGTGATACGGCATTACTTTCAATTTAATTTTGAAATATGCTTAGAAGCGTGTTTTAAAAATTATTTAGTTTTATGGAATTATAGTCTTATATAGAGGTTCTGCTCTTTAGTCATGGCACCTGGTAAATCCAACTAATGAATATATACACTTGTTGGCCAAGTTTGAGACCTTAAATGTCAATTCTAAGACTTAGAGGTAGTAGGCTATCCTTTTAACGAGCCACATTTATTCTAACATAGCCTATTAGGTCTTCATAGGGCCTATCCTTATCACAGCTTCCCCTTTTTCAGCCTCGGGGTCATTCTTGTTTTGGCTTGTATCAAAAACTATATATTTGAGCTCCACTGTGAAGGCCCTCCTACTACTTAACTGGCTAGATTCGCTAGCGAGACAGAGCACGCTCACTTTTCCGGAATCTCACTCTGCATTTGGGTTTGTCAATATGGATTAATAAGCGTAGAAATTGACCATGGTCCGATTTATCCTCTTTCTAGGTATATGTTATTATGTCATTACAGACGATTTTCATTCATTACCAAAGCATGATCAAAAAGATTGTTGACATTTGATACTACTTTCGGTTTGTTTATATCATGTCAGAAAGAGGCTATTAGATCAGCTGTAAAGGTGAAGGTCGTATAAATAAGCTTTGTGACAAAACTGGTTGCTTTCCACTATAGCAGCAGTTCGCAGTAGAATTTCGCTGTGCTAGATTACGATTAATTTCCGTTTTAAAGTTTATTTATCGTTGATAATGTTTGAAGAGCCTCCACCAATCGAATTTATCTGATAGTTATTTTTCATTTCAAGGATATGAGGTAAGAAATGGATACAATCATCGATAAAAATTCTGCATTTCTGTGTCTGTGGAACTGTCATCGACTGTAAAAAAAAAGGACAAAGATTTTGCACTTGCTGTCTTGTTCTTTCCTGTGACTTGTTTTCAACAGAGTACCTTTCATTTTATGGTGCACAATATTTTTTGAAAGAACTGCACAGCTGTATTTATTTCATTGATTATTTCTAATGATGTGGTAGGCAGGATTCATCTCCACATACTAACAACATAGGCTACACAGCTGGAAAATCAATGTCAAACCTTGAATAATAATAAATGAAATTCTACTCTATACTGACTGGACTGTAATCAGCTGACATGCCTAACTTTTCCTTTATTTATGAAAATACAACATGACCTCAGTGAGCTCTGAATTATTTATTTTTTGTCTTTTAGTTTATATAAGCTTAATGAAGTTTTCAATTATGTCATTTATCTTAAAATATTATTTTCTTTGGCTCATTATAAATGTAAGGTTTGATCATTTTTCCAAATAATAATTTATTTAAGGCATTGACAAATTTATTCTCATTTAGTAGCCCAGTGTTGGAGTTGATATTTTCTACTCAAATTAAAATTACCATAATTGGCAAAGTGATTATGATACATTCAATAATTTATGCTTATAGGCGGCATATAGGATAAGGAAACTGTAAGGATTGCTTTATTCTTGTCTATTTCACATCTTTTTAAAAATTTGTCCTCAGTTAGTAAGGCATTCTGGTATAATTGTCAACACCAGTATACTGAGGCATTCAAATAAAGATGTTCAAGCTTACATCATTAATAGGTTGATGATATAATATGAACAAAACAGGCTAATGTAGATCATTCGTTGAAGTGTTATATTTTGTGAATAGGTATAATTTGCTTTGTCTTATAAGGAAAGGTCATTTTAGAGGTTGGTTTTGTCTTGAATATATGCAAATAAGCTTAGTCTTCAGAAGTAGGTACCAGTACTAGAAATATCTCATACTAGGTATTAAGCTTACTTTTCCTATTTCTATAGACACCCGTCCCTTTGATATAGCTGAAATTTCTCTTTAAACTGTGTATTGGATAATTTCAATACCTATAGTAACCATTACTATTACTGTGTTAACTTTAAACTGCATATTCATCTCTTTTAAATAGACCTTTAAAGTTGAAAGTCAGCAGTCCTAGTCCATGTTAGATTAGATATGGGCCAGTATACAGTAGAAAGAATTTATCTTACTAGGTCATTATTTGTTCTAGTTTTCTTGCCTTGGTGTCAGTGAACTCTGTATTAAGGTTAAATTGCTTACAGAAGCTTGAGAAGTAAAATATTGGTGGCTCTTCTATTTTTCCTTCTGTATTAATGAGCCTATATGGTGCAGAAAATAAGGACGTAAAACTCCATTCTTTATTGAATTTTTCCTAAAGAATAATTTTGAATACACAAATAAAGAATCCTATAATAAGCTTACCGTATATAAAATTATAAAATTTAACATATAATATGACATCACAGAGTTCATAGGTAAATGGACGATAGAGTGGAGTATTTAATGATCATTGAATAATTATGTAATACATTAAAGATGAAATTAAAAAAGGCGGGGGTGGTATCTTTCTATTTCTCTAACCAACATCCTGATAACATAAATTATTAAGAGAAAAAAAGTACGATTAAAGGGAGTAAGGGAAGGAATTAACAGCACTCATTAGCCTGTGAAAAAAATATGTATATAAAAGCTTCTGGTAAAATCTATAGTTACAGATTTTAGACAACTGTGGACTAAATTTTTGATAAATATATCAGAGGTTTATAAGTTATTGAATAAATTATACATTGGAGGAATCCATGAAAAAGGAGTTGTTGAGTAAAACATGAAAGGAAATAAATTGAGTTTTTTATGTGTTGAGTAAAGGAATGGACAGATCAAACAAGAGGTTTTGGTACAGGGTTATTTTTTTAATGTCAGCATTGTTATAATTCTTTAAAGACTACAGATCATGCCTCTTCATATTCTTCTTCCTCTTATTTGGTGAAACAGTGATATTTGGAACTCTATAATCAGCAAGGATGATACAGAAGCTACCATTATCACTTTGTTGAATACAATATACTGTTAGATTTGACTTTTGCTGTAGCACAAGTTACTTGATATAATTTATATTTCAATTTTGGTGGGGTCATTTTTTGAATAAAAATACTTGAACTTAATTTATTTTTCTGAAGAAGGTTTTTTTATTTTGTAATACAGCTACAAATGGTGGTTAGTTCTGCTTCATGTCTCCTTGATAAGAAAATTTTATAATAAAAAGAACTTTTTTAGTTTGCTACACAATTTATTGTTATTTATGTAGTCAACAAAGCCATAAAGGTAGCCAAGAGTGACCTATTTATATGATGCATTGCTTTATTGATTACAATTTGGTAGCCTAAAGCCCTATTAACAGGTGAACAGACATACTTGATGTAAGCTTTCTAATTTACTTTATAAAGTTATTATCCAGGGGATTTGTACAAATTTATAATAGTCTACCATGTAGCATGAAATTGAAATATGTGCAAGTTGAATTGAATTTAAAAGTGAACATTTTTTTTTAGGATATAAGCTTACTCATGCATAGTATTCATTTCATTTTAGTTCATGATTATAACTACTCTTATGGTGCATTATTTAGATCTCTTGAATTTTCCCCAAAACAAAAACTACAACGTGCAATTGAAGCCTTTGACAAAATGTCTCGTACTATTTCTAAGCAGAGTATACCATCACGTGGTCGAAGTAGGGTAGACAGTGGAAGTGAGGATTCTGTTACGTCACATAAAGCTGAACGTAGAGATGAAGAGTTTGAATTGGAAGTCCTAAGTCATTCTCAGATTCATCTACCAACTTACCTTAACAAACAAAACATTTTTTGTATGATATAAGCTTACTCATGCATAGTATTCATTTCATTTGAGTTCATGATTATAACTACTCTTAACTTAATTGTAAGATTAAGAATAACTTACAAAAAGCATCCTATTCAAGTCCATCTACTGGCAAAGTCAGTGACTACATCCATTGAAATGATAATGTTTTGGTATTATCTTGAATTTTTGAACTAAGTTATCATATTAACAATCTAGATTTTTTTTTAAAAAAAAGAATAAGAATGTGATCTTTTTATGTTTTTCAGGAGATATAAATCTGGCAACAGCTATATGGCAGACCTACAAAATCAACGGAAATTAAGGAGCTCAGTATTAAAATCTGCCACTCCAAGCCTTTTACATCTTTATAGACCAATGACTAAAAGTTGTTTATCCATTATATTTTCATATAGTACTGCTGAATTTTATAGTTCAGATTCATTAATTGATAAACATAGTGATCATAATAAACATATTGATTATAGTGATAAAACTAGTCAGTGTGATAGAAAATGGCAGAAACAAAGTCTGCAGTGCGCCAGCGCCTTACCAGTACTTCTGGTGAATCAGAGAGTTCAGAATCCTCTTCTGACTCAACTATAACTTTACCACCTGCCCCTGACGGAGGGTATGGATGGGTAATTGTTTTAGCCTCCTTCTTGATAAGTTTAATCTGTGATGGGTGTGCATTTTCATTCGGTGTTCTTTATACTGAGCTCCTTGATTATTTTGGAGACAGCAAGAGTAAGACAGCATGGGTTGGTTCATTGTTCATGAGTATCCCAATGATACTGGGACCATTAGGAAGTGCTCTGAGTTCAAAGTATGGCTGCCGAGCTGTTACAATTGCTGGAGGGCTTGTGTCTGCTACAGGATTTGTTCTGAGCTCATTCGCTACATCCATAAACATGTTGTGTGTGACTTTTGGATTGATTGCTGGATCAGGTATGTCTGTTTGTTATGTGACATCCATGATAATGGTTGCATATTATTTTAAAAAGAAAAGAGCGTTAACAACAGGTTTGGCTGTATGTGGTTCAGGTATTGGTACATTCATATTTGCTCCTTTAACAGAATATTTAATACAAGAGTATGGTTGGAGAGGAACATTGTTAATATTAGGTGGTATTGTTTTAAATCTCAGTATTTCTGGGGCATTATTTAGACCTCTTGAATTTTCCCCAGAACAAAAACTACAACGTGCAATTGAAGCCTTTGACAAAATGTCTCGTACTATTTCTAAGCAGAGTATACCATCACGTGGTCGAAGTAGGGTAGACAGTGGAAGTGAGGATTCTGTTGCGTCACATAAAGCTGAACGTAGAGATGAAGAGTTTGAATTGGAAGTCCTAAGTCATTCTCAGATTCATCTACCAACTTACCTTAACAAACAAACAGCAGATATTCCAGTCGAACTTATTAATGAGATAAGAAAGAATGGATCTAATTTAGAGCAGACATTACACAGATATTTTCGTAGTTTAAGTCAGCCTGATTCTGAGGGAGTAGATCACAAGGAGAAAGAATCTAAAGTTATGACTATTACTACTAATGATGAGATAGAACTGAAACCAGTGAACAATGAAACTAATAATGGTCATCTTTTAAATGGAATGGGTGAACCAGCAAATGAAATGGAGCCCTTGACTCCACATGTAAATGGTGACCTCAAGACTGAGTCGAAAAATGTCTGGCAACAAAAAAAGAAAGTTCCAAAGGCAAGCATTCATCGTGTGTCTTCTTATCTACCCTTGTTAAGAAATGATCTGTATTATCGTGGAAATTTAATGAATATTCAAGGTAATCAAATGAAATCCAGTAGTTGTCCAGAACTATATAAGTATTCTGAAGATGATGAAGATGATGATGACAATGATATATTCCAAAAATATCCTGTTTTAAAGATCTTTAAAATATCCAAACCTTTGAAGAGGTTTTTTGCAAATATGTTTGATCTGGGGATCCTAAGCAACAAATTATTCCTGTTGTTTGCCTTCTCTAACTTCCTGTTATATTTATGGTATGATGTTCCGTATGTTTTTCTGGCAGATAATGCTATAGAACTTGGTATATCAGAAGAGAGAGCTTCATTCCTGTTGTCTATAATTGGTATAGTGAATACAATTGGTCAGATATTATATGGTGCTTTTGGTGATAGATGTGGAAATCTCAGTCTACTGTATGGATTGTCCTGTGTGTTTGCTGGCTTAACAATGGTATTTGTGCCTTTCACTGGGTCCTATGCTGTCCTGGGAACACTAGGAGCTGGATTTGGGTTCTTTATAAGTGCCAATTACACCTTACAAACCATCATGTTAGTTCAATATTTAAGTTTAGAGAAGTTAGCCAATGCCTATGGTTTGATGTTATTAACACAAGGAATAGCCAATCTGGTTGGACCACCAATTGCAGGTAATTTACTTTTCTTCATATAATTTTTTGGATATAACAATACCAGATTCCAAGAAACATTTTCTTTGTCTAAGAATTTTATCTGAGTACAATACTGATTAAGTGTAAGGATACAGTACACTTGATGTAATAGATAAGAAATATCAGGTTACTACAATAGCAGTTTATGTCAAGATAAAGTACATAAACCTGTTTGAAAATCAATATAAACTTCCCTTCATATGTGTATTCAATTTACAGAAGGTAAATTCAAATAAATTATTAAGATAACTGTGCAGTGACCTTGATGTGTTATCACTTAGTATATAACTTAACTTACTTAATAATAGCTTTTAAATTCTATTAAATTTAATGAACAAATTGCTCTTGAGGGTTGGGTTTAAGATCTATTGAAAGGCAATGAAACAATGATACAATCAATTTGTAATTTGTAATCATTTTTCATTGAAATATACTGGATTGTCATGGCATCTTCTTTTTCTCGTTATTATTTAACCTGGAAATATTTTGAACTCTTTACCATCAAATATATAAAAGCCATTCTACATCTTTGGTACAAACGTATATAACTAGCTACATTGCAGAATTAATCTATCAGAGCAAAAGTCAACTACTGTTGCATGTTAAAGTCTGCAAATCATATCATGACCAAATTCTTTATGAGTAAGAAAAAAGCAATCTTTTGTAGAACAGTATCAACCTTTTTGCAATTTGTACACAAAATTATGAATCTCTAGACTATTTCAGATAGACTATTTAGTACTACCCTGTAGAAGTGATATGAATATTATAGTGTACAAAAGTTGACATTAAAATGTGTATAATATGTCGGCCTATAAATAATGTAAATAAAGTAGTGTCCAAAATAAATTATTTTCAAAATTGTTTTTTACTAAGTGAATTGTCTAATATGAAAACATGCCAATTCGTATTGCACATCCCAAACACAGCATAGTCGATAACAATACCGGGAACATGTGATCACTTCCGGGAAAAAACGTAAATTTCGTGAAAGTGACATTTCCCTCTCTAGCATGTTCTGCACGTGCATAAAAACTGTATAAAACGGCTGATCAGACACGTTGATATCACAGCAACAAAAAGAACACAAGATATGCCACGTTTGACAGCCATCGAGAGAGAGAGCCGTTGGAATGGTCCAACAAGGACCGACACACGTCGACGTTTGCCAGAAGATTGGGCTGCGCACGCATCACTATCACCAGGTTGATGCAGCGGTTACGTCAGACAGGTCAGACGTCAGACAGGCCCAGGAGTGGAAGACCACGAGTAACCACGCCCCGTGAAGATCGTTACATCCGGGTATTACACCTGAGGAACCGCACCGTAACAGCGACGTCCACGGCGGCTACAGCACTGGGACACAGGATCAGTCGACAGACCGTCTACAGGAGACTACGGCAGTATGGTATCCGGCCACGTCATCCCTACCGCGGACCGCTCCTGACGCCTCGACACCAGAACAACAGACTGATCTGGGCCAGGCGAGTTCGACGTTGGCAACGGCGGGACTGGGCACATGTTATGTTCTCTGATGAGAGCAGATTCCTCATCTTCAAAAACGATGGACGGCAGCTTGTATACCGACGATTTGGTGAACGTTTGGCGCCTAACTGTATCCAACAGGTCCGGCCGTTTGGAGGTGGAGGGTTAATGGTTTGGGGTGGCATATGTGGTGACGTCAAAACGAGGCTTGTAGTAATTCGTGGAAACCTGAATGCACAGCGTTATATTGATGACATCCTACGGCCTGTTGTGGTGCCCTTTATTCAGCAACAGCCTCGTGGACTCTTTTTCCAACATGACAATGCAAGGCCACACACAGCAAGATTGACACAGAACTTCCTTGCCAACGCCAAGGTACAGGTTTTGCCATGGCCCGCATGTTCACCGGACATGAATCCCATCGAGCACTTATGGGACCACCTCGATCGGCAAATCCGACATCGCCGTGTGCCTCCAGTCAACGTCCAAGACTTGGAACGATGTCTCCTCGAGGAATGGCAACGCATCACTCCCAACGTCATCAGACGTTTGACGGCATCAGTCCGTAGGCGTGTTCTGGCATGTAATGATGCTCACGGTTGACATACCCGCTACTGACTTGACTTTGTGACGTGTGGTGTGACATTTCCCGTTGTTTCTGTGATCAGTGCTCTAACGAAATGTTTTTTTCGACCCCACCCATCTTTAAAGGCTTGTCATATTGGTTGTACAGATTTTATTGAAATGAAATTTTTGTACAGATGTTGTGAAAGGATTTCTCAAAAGCATAACACCAATCCTAAACTTCTGCATTGTTTAGTTTTTCTTTTATGTCGTTGCAAACAGGTGGTATCGTTTCTTTTGGACACTAGTTTAATAATAAATATTAATATCTAGAGTTATAATGTTATATTGATGATATCAGCTATATATTTAATATTGTGGAATAAGTCATTTTAAAAATAAGAGTTGTGATTCAATGAATTGCGCATATCATTCTTCCTCCCCGATCAGACCTTTTTCATTTCACATGAATATGTGGTCGTATATTGTCGTTGCCCCTGTCCGTCAACATTTCTTGTGAGCACTATAGAGACTACAATTTTGATCTGATTTTGATAAAACTTGGTGTGATGCTTAAGATTGATAAGATCTCGGTCAAGTTCGAATTTGAGATATTTTTGATGAACAGTTTTTGAGATATTGACTTTATTAAAACGCTTCGAAATTTGTTAAAAATAGTTCGTGAGCAGGATTGAAGCTACAGTTTTCAACCGATTCTGATGAAACCTGGTGTGATCATTGGAATTGATAAGATCTCGTACAAGTTCTAACTTGACGCATTTTCGATGAACTGTTTTTGAGTTATTGCCCTTGACTTTGTAAAAACGCGTCGAAATTTGTTAAAAATAGTTTGTGAGCGGGAATGAAGCTACAGTTTTCAACCAATTCTGATGAAACTTGGTGTGATCATTGGAATTGATAAGATCTCGAACGAGGTTTAACTTGACGCATTTTCGATGAATGGTTTTTGAGTTATTGCCCTTGACTTTGTTAAAACGCTTCGAAATTTGTTAAAAATAGTTCTTGAGCAGGATTGAAGCTACAGTTTTCAACTGATTCTGATGAAACTTGGTGTGATCATTAGAATTGATAAGATCTTGGACAAGTTCTAATTGACGCATTTTCGATGAAAGGTTTTTGAGTTATTGCCCTTGACTTTGTTAAAACGCTTCGAAATTTGTTAAAAATAGTTCTTGAGCAGGATTGAAGCTACAGTTTTCAACTGATTCTGATGAAACTTGGTGTGATCATTGGAATTGATAAGATCTCGGACAAGTTCTAACTTGACGCATTTTCGATGAACTGTTTTTGAGTTATTGCCCTTGACTTTGTTAAAACGTGTTGAAATTTGTTAAAAATAGTTTGTGAGCAGGATTGAAGCTTTGTAAAAACGCGTCAAAATTTGTTTGTGAGCACAATAGAAGCTACAGTTTTCAACCGATTCTGATGAAACTTGGTGTTATCATTGAAATTGATAAGATCTCGGACAAGTTCTAACTTGACGCATTTTCGATGAAATGTTTTTGAGTTTATGCCATTAACTTATGAAAAACGCGTCAAAATTTGTTTGTGAGCACAATAGAAGCTACAGTTTTCAACCGATTCTGATGAAACTTCATGTGATCATTGGAATTCATAAGATCTTGGACGAGTTCTAACTTGACGCATTTTCGATGAAAGGTTTTTGAGTTATTGCCCTTGACTTTGTAAAAACGCGTCGAAATTTGTTAAAAATAGTTCATGAGCAGGATTGAAGCTACAGTTTTCAACCGATTCTGATGAAACTTGGTGTGATCATTGGAATTGATAAGATCTCGGACAAGTTGTAACTTGCCGCATTTTCGATGAACGGTTTTTGAGTTATTGCCCTTGACTTTGTTAAAACGTGTCGAAATTTGTTAAAAATAGTTCGTGAGCGGGATTAAAGCTACAGTTTTCATCCGATTCTGATGAAACTTGGCATAATCATTGGAATTCATAAGATCTCGGACAAGTTCTAATTTGACTCATTTTCGATGAACAGTTTTTGAGTTACTGCCCTTGATTCTGTTAAAACGCGACGACATTTGTTAAAAATAGTTCGTGAGCAGGATTGAAGCTACAGTTTTCAACCGATTCTGATGAAACTTGCTGTGATCATTGGAAGTGATAAGATCCCGGACAAGTTCTGACTTGGCGCATTTTCGATGAAAGGTTTTTGAGTTATTGTCCTTGACTTCGTTAGAATGCATCGAAATTTGTTAAAAACAGGTCGTGAGCAGGATTGAAGCTACAGTTTTCTTCCGATTCTGATGAAACTTGGCATAATCATTGGAATTGATAAGATATCGGACAAGTTCTAACTTGACACATTTGCGATGAATGGTTTTTGAGTTATTGCCCTTGACTTTGTTAAAACGCTTCGAAATTTATTAAAACTAGTTCGTGAGCAGGATTGAAGCTACAGTTCTCAACCAATTCTGATGAAACTTGGTGTGATCATTGGAATTGATAAGATCTCGGAGAAATTCTAACTTGACGCATTTTCGATGAATGGTTTTTGAGCTGTTGCCCTTGACTATGTTAAAACCCGTCGAAAGTTGGTTTTTTTTTTATTAGAGCTGTGTGATTTAATTGTTTGTTGTATTTGGGTTATTGATATTGATTTTAAAAAATTTTGTGGAATTATTCAGCGTAAATAACTGGCATATATATATATATATGTAATTGAATTCAAATTAATAAAAATATCTTCAATATGAGAAAATTCGTATTTTAGTCACTAAAGACTGTTTTATTATTTCTGACAGCTGCCAGTGGGCGTATGTTACCTTGCATCGCAAGCTATCTTTCATTTAAAGCATGCTCCTTCTTTAGTCTTTAATATTCTGTGGTTGTCAACCTTTATGTAGTGAGATCTCTGAAACTCAAACATGTGAAACATATATATTTAAACACATGAGCTAGTGTCCTTGACTTTGATATTGAAAATCAATATATAAACTTTGTCTCAAGTCAGAGAAATTTAAATTTTTTATACTTTCATTCTTATTTTATTGTTTATCAATAGATCTGCTGATCATTAATTTTTTTAAATAGGATATTATATACTGTGAATAATAATAGAGATTTAGCAGTACTAGTGTAAAAAATTTTACAAAATATAATCTTTGTAACTATTTGATCGCTGTGTTTTAAATTTCTATTGATTGAGGATATCACCTGTTAAAAGCTATAGATTAGTATCATGATAACAATACTTTTGAATTAAATAAAAGTTTTATTCTAGGTTTTTAATCAGACATCAGTTATTCCAATATAACTAAGTTTTAGAGGACGTCAGTAATTGATGCTGTCCGTGTCTGAGATACACTTAGAAAACCTCTTACAATCCTTTATCTAATAAAAGTGAATAATTGGTTTATAATTTCAGGTGCTCTGTATGATGTAACTGGTAGTTATGATATCACATTTTATGCGGCTGGTGTTTTTATAATTATAGCTGGTTTGATGTTATTTATCCAGCCCTTATATACCTGTTTATTCTCCTGTAATGTCAAACATCTATACACAAATAAACAACTGCAGGATCCAACGTTGGAGGACCTTAAAGATATTCAAATAAATATAGATCCTGCTCCACTTATTGTTATGGAAATGGAAACTGTCATTTAAGTTTATTGAAATCAGTATTTTTAAGTAACACACATGTTGACTGTCAACCACAAGTATATATGTTGAGAGTAGATAATTCGAAAATATATCAAATTTGCAGATGCGGAGGACAGTAATATTTTGAGTAATAATTAATTGCAAAATACGCAAAACCGTTAACTACATACACTGTCAACATTGTATTCTTACATTTTCTATTTTTCTGTAAAAGTCTCATGGTTTTGAATCATCATAGTTGGATATTATATGTTCAATTTAATCAACATGAAATCAGTTTATTTGATATATTACATTCAAAGAAATTTTGTTTGCTTGCTTACAATGATGGTATAATTTGTACAATAAAAACACAGTAGGTGATAGTGCTGGAGGATGGTTTACAGTTTTGATTGAACTATGTTTCATTTTTGAAGGTTTATTTTGTTGTTATATTTTGTGTGTTTGTAATAACACCAGATATCATGTCTTACACAGGTTACTGAATAATTTACAAAATAAATCAAACAGAACAAATAGTTGTGGGATAAAATTAGACATCCGTATTAAAAGAAGATGGCACTTACAAGGGAAAGTTCAATTTAAAGTTCAGTTTGATACTATATAGCAACTTTTTCCTTCCTCTTATTTGACCTACTTAACTTAGATACTATACTAGATATTATTGATAATATAATCCTATATTGTTGACAATGTAGTAGGATTTCATGTTATTAGTTGATTTATCTGACATAATCTTGAAGAAAATCATAAATGATCTATAATATGTCTTTTCAAAAAGCGCAAGACAAAATCAGGAGGAAAACCTAAGCGATGTCAGATTGCGGGGAATAAATAAAACATGCAAAAAAGGTCATTAAATTATTAACCCATTGTTTAGTTAGATATCTTAAAATCAAATATCAAATTTTTGTAGGAAATTTTTCTTTGAGCCATAAGTTAGAAAAGCTAATATTAATTTCTGTTTTAATAGAAGATATCTTTTTAGATTATATTTTATACTATGTAATAAAAATATAAAAAATGAAACAGAAGCCATTATTATCTTATATTAAGTTATATTATACTTTTAATGAATATTCTTCTGTGATACAAGATTTCCAGTCCCTAAGTAATCTTATAAAAACAGATAATGGTCAGAACTTTGGTTAAAACTTGTCAAGTCTTCAGAATACTATTGTGTAGCAACTGATAATTAATACATGTTATGAATTAATTATTAACAATATTACATAATATATCATTTTATTATACGCCCACATCTCTCTATGTGGACGTATATTGTCGGCACCCCTGTCCGTCTGTCGGTCGGTCCGTCAGTCCGTCAGTCAACATTTGCTTGTAAACGCTCTAAAAACTAGATTTTTTGATGGAATCAAATGAAATTCAGTATGTGTATACATATTCATAAAACGAAGATCAATTTCAAATTTGAGCTATTTTCGACCGTTAAAAGCAGAGTTATTGCCCTTGCCCCAAAATCTGAATATGCTATACTCTCTTAGTTTTCAACCGAATTTGATGAAACTTAAAATGGATGTTTCGTT